GGGCCGTCTACGGAACGAAATCACAATTTCTCCGGATTTCTGGTCAATCTTGCAAAGACTTCACCAACATGAGGCGGTCGCTTCTCTTGTCTTCGATCTTCTACAAAGCATTGTTGAGTCAATGCCCGATATCATCACGGCCGACAACTATGAGTTCGTAGTCAGCCTTGCCAACGACTTCGTCAGCGCCGGACGTGTGGGATCTATCGAAGAACGACACAGGGATGCCCAGGCCCGCCGTAATAAGGGGGTCAAACCATCCAAGCCAAGGTAAGGGCACTCATGCAACTCTATCCAGTGTTGATACTTACATCTCCTTCCATAGTGAAAACCAAGTTGTGACCCGCGGTGTTAAAGCAATTGGCCTGATCTATCATCTGACTGGACGGGTCCCGGCTCTTATCAAACAATCTCACCTTGAGGAGAAAGAAGGTAACTACTGACCCTCTGATATGTATATTGCAGCGAGTTTCTAATATTTGGATTTTCAGCCTGGGCCGCCTACTGGTCGCCTATCTTCCAGTCCTTGACCGCTCAATGCACCAACCCGTGTCGCGATATCCGACACCATGCTATTTCCACGCTGCAGCGATCTCTTCTATCTGCCGAACTGATCTCAAGCGATGACGAGGAGTGGACAAGCATCTTCGACGAAGTCCTATTCCCGCTCGTCCTCCTTCTTTTGAAGCCAGAGGTCTATCACTCCGACCCTGTTGGTATGAGCGAAACCCGATTCCAAGCCGCAACCTTGGTCTGTAAGATCTTCCTGCGCTTCCTTGACCAACTTCCCAACCGGACGGGTATGCTCCCTCTCTGGCTCAGGATCCTAGACATCCTTGACCGCATGATGAACAGTGGTCAGGGCGATAGTCTGGTAAGTCTATGATTCCACTCGATGACTTAAGTATATCAAGACCAATCCCATCTAACATATCTTTTTCCCATACTATAGGCAGAAGCAGTTCCCGAAAGCTTGAAGAATATCCTCCTAGTCATGGCTGATGGAGGCTACCTCGTGTCCCCATCCCAAGACCCAAGCAAGGAAGAAATCTGGGTAGAGACCCGCAAGCGCCTTGGCCGTTTCTTGCCCGATCTCTTTTCGGAGGTCTTCCCCGATACCTCGAACGAGCCCGAAAAGTCTCCGGACTCTGCCATCCCATCCACAGAGCAGCCCCATGAGACGGAGAAGGCTAGCGAGACAGCGCAGAAGAGCGAGGATACTGCGCCTCAGAACAGTGAAGAAGCAAAGGAGGCGAATGCCGAGACCCAACCTCTTCAAGAGACAGAGGAAAGCACCCCTTAATGGAATGTTGAACCATTTCCGTGGATGTATGATGTATCTTTTTTTAATTTCTTGACTCCCCTGTTCTTTTTACATTTACCCTAGAATAGCGCCGGGGTCTATGTCCTACATGTAGATATAGCTTGATTTGATGATCGGCGCTGCGTGCGAGAAGACTACCCATGTGTCTGTTTACTTTTTTTGTGCCTACGATCTGCAAATGACAGGCCGGTTCCATATCAACGTAAAGCTTACTTAGAATTCACCAATAGAATGGACATTCGTAGTTGCAACCTATCGAGCTGGACAAGTTGCGACACAGGTGTATCATTCCTTTGGGCGATCTATACACATACACATACAATAATAGAACGCCACGTTGAATCAGGTATCCAAAGACAAAGAGAATAAAATCGAACAGAAAATCAGAGAGGACTAAAAGTCCCCTGGTTAACCAACGGAAAAAAGAAGTCATGATTTGAGATGCAGTGTGCTCGGGGCAGATAAAAGGGGACTGAGGCGGCGATCAATCGCAAACAACACTCATACTAGAATGCGCAAAGATAGCAAGTATACAACATACAATTCGGCGGATGAGACATAGAAAGAACACAGAGATAGGAGATCGAGTTAGTAAAAAAACTTCATGAAATGTTCCCTTTCTCTTGAAGGAAGATAGCCCATATCAAGTTCTCCCTCTATTCATCGTCCATGTCAAGATCAATAGCGTCGGGGTTGGCCTCGGCAACAGCTGGTGCTTGGCTGGTAGGTGGAGGACGGTTACCGCCCTCTGGACCGCTCGTGGCAGCCACGAAGCCAACTGGGGCACGGGCTTGACGTTCCAATTCCGCCATGGCATCTGCGCGGCGTTGATCATCATCACCTTGTTCGCCTGTCTGGGGTTGCTGTTGGCTCCTAGCAATGGCTTGCGATGCAATGAAGTTGACATCGGTGCTGCAAATAATGTTAGAAAATTCGTTATCAGCTTGATGGTGGTGGAGATCACATACTTGTATTGAGCTTGAACACTTCGCTTGATACGAATCATTTCGCCGAAAGTATCGTCGTTTCCATGGTTGACTTCGAATAACTCCCACTTCTGCCAGAAGGGAGCGTTTGTGCGGGGATCGCAGAATTGAGACGCATGGCCATAAATCGCGCGAGCACGATCGATCTCGCCCAGTCGTCGCTCCATCTCGGCAAATTTGAGGCACATTTCTTTGGCCTCTTGGTCGGGCAGGGCGGCAATGGCGCGCTCGTAGATCGGTCTGGTAGATGTGAGACCGAAGTTGGAGGCCGATTTTGTGATGTAGAATTCGAACATCTCGAAGCGGTCCTCGTCGGACACTGCCCGAGTTGCACGCTCGTAGATCCGCATTGCGTGCCGTGCGAGACCACGCTCTTCTTCCAAGTTGCCGTACATCAGGTAAAGAGACTTGGCAAACTTGGGAGGACAATCCTCCAAGGCCTGCTCAAACAGGTCGCGGAGTCGCTCAATGCCGATCTGCCGGTCCACAGCCTTGGTCAAGTACAAGTTCCAGAGTTCAAATGCAACTGGATACATGAAAAGATCCAAGCCTCGCTCATATACCTTGAAAGACTCTTCGAAGTATTTGTTTTCTTCTAGGAGATTGGCATAGTTAACGACGGTTTGGGGTGTGGCGATGCGAAGCTCGAAGATCCGCTCGTAGACCTTTTTGGTTTCATCCAAAGACGAAACACTCTCAACAAGATCGACATAGAAACTCCATAGCTTCCAACTCTTGTGGATTCTTTGCTGTGGGGACAGTGTCTCGTCGAAATAGTCCACCGTCGATTTCTTTGGTGCCTGTGTCGCCTTCGCCATAATATTGACTGCTTTGTCGAAATTCTCGGCGCGGAGCTCCATTTCAGCCCATTCACACCAGGTCTCCGCTAATTCAGCTACAGACTTGAATGGAACTTTAACAGCCTTGTCGAAAATGACTCTGGCAGTATCCAAGTCCCCGCCATTCTCATAAAGCTTTGCGTAATTAACCCAAAGTTCAGAGAATTTCCCAAGCGCTTTCTTGGGGTTGATTGCAGCAATGGCATCTGTGTAGGTACGAACAGCTTCTTCCTTGTTATCACCCCAGAGCGCCACTCTCTTTTCCCATTCGATGACGTTGTGAGGGTTCTGGCGTAGGAGTACATCGTTCACCAAGAATGGTCTGCGGTCCATCAGCTGCTCGAAGCGCAGCATGCGGAGGTCAAGATCAAAGTCGGCGTCCTCGTCAGCTTTGCCCTTGTCAGAGCGGGCGGCTGCGCTTTCCATCAAGCTTCCAATGATAGACTCCTCGAACTCGACATAGGAGTCGAAGATGAGAGTGAAATCACGAACCGTCATGACAGTAGTGATTCCCTCCTCAAAGACATCCCGTGCCTTTTCGAAGTTGCCTTTGGTGATCCAGTACGTGGCCAACCCAGCCCACAGCTTGCCCCTCTGATCCGCAAAGCGCGCGATACCACTCCGCAGAATGGCGTCAACATCAATTCCGACCTGAGGGCCGGTCTGAATCTTCTTGGCCTTGGAGACTAGGAGATCAACCATTTCCGACCATAACTGGAATGGGCCCTTGCCATGCTTGGACTTGAATCGGGAGTCGTCGAGGATATCCATGAATTTCTTCACGGCTTCCGTATATTCACCGTTGTCAACAAGAAGCTCTATATAATCCTCGATGTTCTCGGGGTGAATTTGCATGTACCGAGCAAAGATCTTGACAGCAGTCTGTCCTGAAGCAGACCGAGCGAAGCCTTTGTACAGTCTCCAGATTCGGTTGTGCTGTGTGACCGGCAAAGCGCGAAGGGACCGGTCGAAGGTTCGTCGAGTCTGGGTCACCATGGGTTGCTGAAGCAGGAAGGAGAGGTACATTTCCCAAATGCGAGGCATCTTGTTCAGAAGGATCAGGGCTCGTTCGAAGAGTGCGTTGACTTTCTGGTACTCGGCACGATAGACCGTAGGATTGCGGCCCTTCAAGTGGTTTGTTCGGAACTCCAGATACTAGGATGGTCAGTAAAAGCAGAGACATGGGACTTTTTTTTAAAAAAAAAGTCACTTACCATCTTCCAGAGCTTGTATGAACGTGGTAATTGCTTGCAAGCGCGCTCCATGACCTGATAAAAGCCGTTAGATTAGTGGTAATCCTTAGCGACTCGGTTGTCGTGGGTGAAGACATACAAATGCTTGCTCATAGAGCGTGCCATTTTGCTGTTTGAATTCGATGTAGGCAAGCCATGGCTTGACACTGCTAGCGTCGCGAAGCAAATCTTGTTCGTAGATAATATCTTGATCAGTCTAGCGAAGAAATGCAAGTTAGCCTGAAGTTCAAATGGTCCAATGGGTCAAAACTTACAATCAAGTAGAGGTCCGGCCGGGACGCAGATGGTCGATCCATCTCTGCGTGCTGCCGGTGGGATCTCGGGGGCAAAAGCGTCCCTGGCATTGCGCCACTCAGTCGAGCGAAATCCAATTACACGATCAACGTGTCAGCATAAAGGAAAATTGCATAAACAAGAAGCTGCTGGCGTGCGCGTTTAAAGCCAAACCTGTTGACGGATGAGGTTCCCACACTGATTGTGGCACGTGATTCATCTGTATCAGGTGGGCGGTGGAGCTTTATCGGCGTCATACCAATGTGGCCGCGTTGCTCAAGCTGAACAACAAGGACTATATTGTGATCTTTGTTCTGCTGCAATCATGTCCGGCGCTGTGGTGAGTTTATTGTGGAACTGAACTCTCATATTGATTCCATCTGACCTCTATTCAGGGCCGAGAGGCAGTATTCCCAACTCGCCAATCATTGGGGTTGATGAAGAACAAGCTCAAGGGGGCGGAAATTGGCCATAGTTTACTAAAGAGAAAGAGTGAAGCTCTAACAAAGTATGATTCCTGTGCCTTTCTTGCTTCTTACAGTATATGCTGACCTTCTATCTAACAGGCGTTTCCGAGGTATGAAATGCGACACATTCCTGTTCCCCACCTTATCGAGCCGCTAATCATACTTCGACAGACATCACACGTCGCATCGATGAAGCCAAACAAAAGATGGGTCGGGTCATGCAGATTGCTGCCTTCTCGCTAGCGGAAGTGAGCTACGCGGTAGGCGGAGATATCGGCTACCAAATCCAGGAGTCCGCCAAGCAGGCTCGTTTCCGCGTGCGAACCAAGCAAGAGAACATTTCCGGTGTTCTTCTGCCTACATTTGAAAGCTACACCCAGGAGGGCGTCAATGACTTTGGTCTGACAGGTCTAGGAAAGGGAGGACAGCAGATCCAACGCTGTCGGGAGACATACGCACGGGCCGTAGAGACATTGGTGGAACTGGCGAGCTTACAGGTATGCATGGTATCTATACAATGGATTGAGATATTGCTCACCAATTGTGCCAGACTGCTTTCTTGATTCTCGATGAGGTGATCAAGGTTGTCAACCGAAGAGGTAAGTCATCTCTCTCATGGATCGTGACGGCTGTTAACTAACTTGTGTGATACAGTAAATGCAATGTAAGACCGGAACTCATGAATTCGACCCTTGTTAGGGATACTAATATATAATCAATAGCGAGCATGTTATCATTCCTCGAACCGAGAACACTATCAAATGTTCGTACCGTCTACTTTGAGCGTCTCTTGCACAGGCTAACCATTCTGAAGACATCAACTCCGAACTCGATGAGCTCGACCGAGAGGAATTCTACCGCCTGAAGAAGGTTTCAGGCAAGAAGAAGAGGGATGTTGCTGCTGCAGACGCTGAGATTCTCGCGGCCCGGCAAAAGGCAGAGCAAGAGCAAGCGGCAAACCCCAAGGCACCTGCTGCTACTTCTACTGCTATCTTTGCGAAGGAGGAAGAGACGGCAGACGTTCTTGGCGAGCAGGAAGACAACGATGTCATCTTCTAGACTGCTATTTTGTTTCGTATTGATACTCTTTTCTTGTTAACATCTTCCTTGACCGCGACATGTACTACTTTGTATGCTCATACTCGTTTTAGCCCCATGGCTCGTTCCATCTACTTTGGGAAATATTGAACTTCATGTGATACGCAATATTGACGCATTGCGATAGCAAGAGAACCGTGATAAAGCTCTCCGTATTTCTAATACACATGTACCTGAGACAAGACCTTCCAAACGCCAGAAAGAACAAGACCGGGATATTTTGTAGGATGCAACAAACCACCCACGACTACTGTCGTTGGTAGGTAACGCGAATCGCCTTGCCCTGGTCGCCCATGGGCATACCCGACGTAGCTTCCTTGGCACTGATTGCTCCAGCCTCGGCCTCGTATTCGACGAAAGCAATTCCCTTGCGACCGGGCACCAATCTGACTTCTTGGAACCCTTCGAACCGGCCGAAGATAGCAGACAGACCTTCCTGTGTTGCATCGTCCGGCAGTTCCCGCAAGAACAGGATCTTGTTGGGTGGGAGGTACTCGTCGGGTACGACAGCGGTCGCAGCAGCAGTGGTGGGCTTGAGGCCGGCACCTTTGGTGGTCTTGGCTGGGCGTGCGGGTTCGACAGCGGCAGCAGGACGCTTGAGTTTCTTCTGTGCTTCGAGGGCCTCGTGGGCTTGTTTGCGCTCTTTAAAATGAACAGTATTAGCATGGATTGAGTCTTGAAATATAGTCGGCCAGTATCTGTTCAATGTACCTTTCTCAGCTAGGCGTCTCCGCTTGTGAGCCTCCAGCTCGTCGCTGCCACCCTCCCGCTGGACTGTCGCATCGCTGGGTGTCTTCGCATAATCCAAAACCATGGGCTTCTCGAAGAGATCGAAGCCATTGATATCCTCAATAGCGCGGGTAGCGGAGTCGACGTTGTCAAAGACGATGAAGGCCTGGCCTTTAGCTTTGAGGTTGGTCTTTGCGACGACCTCTAGAATGGTACCATATTCAGAGAAGATCTCCTCCAGGGCATGCTTCAACTGGTCGATCTTGATTCGCTCATCTAGATTTTTGACCTAATGAGGAACCCGTCAGTATGATAATGCGGGACCGGAGTGGTGATATGATAGAGGGGGAGGGACAGGCGCACATATACTCTGTAAAGACTTGTTAGCATGGGAATTGATTATGCATATATAGTATAGCACTCACGTCGCATTTGGAGGAATACCAGCTGCGGAGACGGCTGCCATTTTTGCGACTGTTGGAGCTCTAGAAACCAGAGAGGTCGAGCTTCCGGTTGACTTGAGGCGGAGGGAATGAATTGGGGAAATAAATGAGCATATGATGCATAATAGTGAGGCCTATCACATCGAACTAGCATCATTGGTCTAGTGGTAGAATTCGTCGTTGCCATCGACGAGGCCCGTGTTCGATTCACGGATGATGCATTTCTTTTTTTCTTTTTTTCTTTTTTTCGCCTATTGTTTCTGTCGATGGTAATTGCTCGAGGGCCCACATAATTACTTTTCCACACACAACTTGATTTTCCACTGTATCCTTTACTCCATATGGCTTATCTCCCTTAAAATTAGGTCGCCCCGTTTTAGTTTTTTAGTATGGGTGACGAAGTATGCATTAAAGAATAACAAGGTTCCAAGTGTTACATTTTGCTAAGCACTAAGAAACTGATCATCTTCATATTTTGCCTATTTTTGATCTGCTCATTTTATTAATAGAAGTTAGTACACGTAACTATATCCTTGGACTTAGCTTAGGTCGGGTTGTGGGTTGTGTCGATCCCCGAGATCAAGATATTCGGGTTGTAAATGTAAGGTTTGAAAAAGATAAGCCCATTAAGGGGACACCCGTGGACACGTGAAGTCTTGGCTTATGCATTCGCCCCACTCCACTGAGACCGACCTGCGGATCTCCGTGGTATTCCTTCAGGCTAAGGGGTTGTGTGTACCTGAAAATCCCCCTCCCTCAATCCCCCGAAAACCAAACTATGTATTCCTCAAGGAACTAGCTGGCCACCTGGTCACCACGAACAAGATGTACCTCACATCGCTACTATCTCTCGCAGCCCTGGCGGGCATCAGTATAGCCAAAACCCCAGGCTGCGGCGAAGATATACCTTCCAAATACCCCAAAGCGGGAGAAAGCGAGTCCCTCAGTCTCCCAGACTCAGACCGAGAATACAGATTATTCATCCCTGCCAACTATGACAAGGATACGCCAACAGCAGTATACTTTTCCTTCCACGGCGCGTCGCGGGACATGGTAGAGGAAGAATCTCTGTCACAATTTTCAAACCCGGAATTCAACCCCGACGGAATCGCCGTCTACCCAAACAGCCAGAATGGATACTGGCTGTCCAGCCCTGCTGCAGAGACGTCTCGCCCCAACGATCTAGACTTCACCAACGATCTGCTCACGCATCTGGAAGAAACCCTCTGCATCGACACAAGCAAAGTATTCGCGGCCGGCAAATCGAACGGCGGTGGCTTCGTCAGCGTCATCGCCTGCAATTCCACAGTTGGAAGCCGGTTTGCGGCTTTCGCGGCTGTCAGCGGCGCCTGGTATGATACCGACGACATTAAGGGCGTGGGGCCCTGCGCCCCCGCTAAGCGGGATTCGGGATATCCTTTCCTGGAGTTCCATGGGACGGTCGATACGACAGCACCTATCGATGGTGATGGGGAGTCCAAGCTGCCTGTCATTGATGTCTTGCAGGCCTGGGCAGCTCAAAATGGATGTGCGAACAATTCGCAACCGACCAGCAATAAGACCATCTTTGATGACCCGGTTGTGAAGCATGCTTCTTGGGACTGTAACGGTCTGACAGGCATTGTCCAACATTACCGTGAGAGTGACAATGGCCATTGCTGGCCAAGTACTGTTGGCAATGATGACTTTACCCGAAATGCTGCACAGTGCCCGTTGGGCAAGTCTGAGTTCAATGCAACTCAATACATATTTGACTTCTTTGCGGAGGATCACTCGAGCACATCTACCACAACAAGTACTGGCACAAGTACTGCCACAGGTACTTCCACCGCATCTACAAGTACAAGCACTCACAACCAAAGCCCCAAGATTTCACAACCCATGTCCTTCTATGCTTTGTATCTTATATTCTCAGCTGTTGTTATTAATTCAATGCATATTTGAGTTCTACGGTATCTCTGTGGAGATGCTGTCTAACCCTCCAAAGAAAAAGCGATCTTCAAATTATCCACCTGGGGCTTTAGCTGTTTAGGCGAAGCAGACCAGTCTTCGTACTTGGCAATCTCAGAGTCTGTCACAACAAAGAGATATTCTGCAGCACTTGATCGGACCTAAAATGAATCAACTGTCAGTACCGCAAATCCATGGGGTTGAGGGTTAACGTACCCTTGGGAAAGGATGCAAAAGCAATCCGGTCATCTTCTTCAAAACACCATCTCGCAGGGAATCAATCCTTGATAATGCAGCATAGACTTTGACCGCAGCTTCCAGCCGAGCTATATTTGCAGATCTGAAATGTGCTTTCTGGACTAGCGTGAACAGTTTTCGGAAACTAAAGAGAAAGAAAATGTCAGTGGATGGTATAGATATATAAGCAATAGAAGAGGAGTTCACAAACCTTGGATCCGAGCCTGCTGGGATAACAGAAAGGTAGCTGTCAATTAAAAATGCAACAAACTCGACAGCAGGAATGGCAAAACGGTCATCGTGAAGGTTGTCACTTAATACTGTCGAAAGATCTTGTAAGAAGACCATCAATATCTCCTGGCGTCGGGGATCGGGCTGAGAATTGAGGAATTGAGTCAGAGCTGAGCGAGATGCTCGGACGAGACCTTCCGCTCCTGAGATAGCAGAGGTAGCCAGTCCTTGTAACAAAGGAAGACGAAGCCAGTCAATATCCTGCAGAGTAAGTAGCTGAGCAAAGTACTCTTGTGACGAAACATGACTGAAGTGCTCGAATTTCCTGTTTTTTGTAAGCATTCGTTATAAAAGTGTGTTTTATTGGTAGTTGATTACTTTTCAAGCGGGGGTAGATCCCCTGCTGATTCCCAGAAGCCTTGTAGAGAAAGCCATGCTTGTAGTCTGACCTTGTCCAGCTTTTCACATGCAAGACGGCAAAGACACCCAACCAAATTTTGAATAAGTGGTGAGCGTGATGCTGGGTCCGGTTGTTGTCTTTGAAGCAAGATGGTGACTGCTTGGATTGCCTCGACTCGAATAAGAGATCCAATATCACCTCTTCTGTCAGTGGTGTAATCATTCAAAAATTCGACGAAGTTGCTCGCAATTGTGTCGGTGGTAGCTAAGAATTTGTTAACCTATGTTCATAACGGCCAATAAAAAAGAGTTATTAAACATACCCATATATGGCAATATACTGGTGGCCAAGCACTTCACAGCAGCAACCCGTTTCTCGATGAGCTCTTCCTTCCCGGTGTAACGAAGAATCTCGGTGACGATATCTTCTTGGACGTCACTTTGTGTTTTGAGTTGCTTGAACACTGTACCAAGTGCTAAAATTTGACCACGGCCTGATGGTAATCTCCATGAAGTACGGAGATGAGAGAACCAAATACGCACCGTTTCTTCCTGTTTTGAAGGCGATAGGAGAGGAAACAGCTGCGCCAAGGCGGTTGAAGATGTTTCAACCGAGATATCATCACTTCGAGAAACACAGAGCGACAGAATTTGGAGTGTTCGGTCCAGAAGTGGCTCTAATGGTTGAGCCAGGCCTGTTGTGATGGTAGACCGAGAGAGCGAGGAGATCAAGCAAGATGATGCCTCTGCTGTCAACTCGGGACGTGAAGTTTGGAAGGTCAAGTCATCATCGGTAATGCTTGATGCAGAGTCAAAGATATCCCAGATATTGGCCACTTGAGAGGAAACAGCCCTGACTTCCGGGCTATCTCTCTTAGCTGCTGATGCTTCCCATTGGAAAGTAAACGCATCGACCGTGGCAGCAATGGACAACAGACAGCCATGTCGTGATTCTACATCATTCCGAGAGATCCTGGAGAACATCTTCAACAATTTATCTAGGACCAGGTTCATAGTTTTGAATAGCTCCTGCGTACTCAAAGTTCCAATCGCCTTGGCAGCATGTCTTCTGGACTCGGCATCTGGAGAAGCAATACCTCTCCAACCCATCAAAGCGTCCAGAAGTGGACTCCAGTAAATCTGATCCAGAGACGCAGTTGCTTTAGCAACTTCAATTAGTGCGCGAGAACGCCGTGCAACTGCATGATAATCCACAACCTGCACGAGGGGAATACCCTGCGCGATAGTATTGGGGTGACGACCAATCAATTCTTGCAGCGCAGCAGACGACCCGCGTCGGATGTTCCCAGATGGATCGATACACGCAGCACAGATGAGTTCCACGGCCAGCTTTTGCAGAACATCGACCTCTTTCTGGCCAGATTGCGACGCCACTACCTGGGGCTGCAACGCGAGGAGTTCTCGTGTTGTATATTTTCGAGACATGGCCCAAATACCGAAGCACGCCGCATCTCGAACACCAGTTCCCACAGAGCCACCAGCAGAAGACCTTTGCTCGAAGCCCAACCCAGACACAAGTGATTGAAGAATCTCCGGGAGTTGGTTGATAGGAGGTGCCCGGCGGAAAAGTAAATGCGACAGTGTCAGGATTAATCCTTGCCATCGCTGGGCATCGACTGCACTGAGATTACGTTTAAGGGTGTGTGTGCCAATCTTCCTTGCTTCAAATGGCGTCACGAGAGAGCCATCGTCTTTTTCGTAGAGGATATTATCTCCCAGCGAGCCAATGACTGCTTCGATGACCTCTGTCCCCATTTCTGGATCTAATTTCAATGTGATAATGCTGAGTGCTTTACTCGCGGCAAATCGCACGGGTGTATCTTTGTCGGCCAAGGAGACCAAGAAATGATCGATTGCATCTTCCAATATGGTCGACAACTGATCATCCGTGATGCGGGCGCCACCTCGCTCACTCAAAGATAAGGCCATGACTGTGATGTTGCGAAGGATCTTGACAACAATCTTTCTTGCCAACGCGGAAGACTGAATTGTCGTGGATGTTGAAGACTTCCCTTGAGATACACTGAGAGTCTGCTGGAAGACATAATTGATCAAGGGAGCAAAGTCCTCTACCTGGCCCGATGCGCCCAAGCGAGCAATGAATGTGAGAACCCCAATACACGCATAGACAGAGGGCGATTCGACGTTCTCCGTCGGCTGGATTGTAGCAAATGCCCACTTCGTTAGGCCTGTGAGCATGCCGAGAGCTTGCATGTCTCCACGCAAAGACAATCGTGCCAAAAGCGCTGTCGCTGCCTCGCGTTCTTTGCCCGACGCACCAATATAGTGCAACGACAAGGAAAGAAGGGACCTGGCAATCATAGGAGTCTCAGATGATAACCAAGTCAACTGTTGCAGATTGTCGTGGGGCACCGGGATGTTATCTGATGATAAAGAAGACAAGTCAAATGGAGCAAGCAGAAGATGTGAAAGCCAGACCAGCATCACATAGCGTTCTTCCCAGATGAGTCGCTGGGTTTCAGATTCAACTAGTTCCTCGGAATTGGATGGCCGGACCGCATCCCATTCGATGAAGGCCCGAAGCATTGAATCAAGGTATTTCGGCTCATTATTTAAAAACCTGCTAATCACTTTGACGCCACGGACTTTGCAGAAAGTGTAAAGCAACCTGCAGATGGCTCTTGGTAGAGGATACTGATTTCCTCCCTGGGATGACTTCATCGACACAGAACCATACTGGGTGCGATGCTTGATCAAATATGCTAGAAAAGCGTCCACTAAAGGAGGTAGCAATGTCTGCAAATGTGGATCTAAGAGTTGAGGCCATTCTTGGAAGGGTTCAAGCTGTATTTACCATTAGTGAATAAGAACAGAAATATAGTCAAGAGATATAACTATGCGGTGCGGTCTTACAAGGCTGACAAGCTTCTCTGTTTTGGTGACCTGCGCCCATTTGCGTGGGGTGCGGAGGGGAGTGCCAGCTTGGGCTCTCCACAATAGCGAGGGCAGCTTTGCGGAAAACTCGGACACCAAATCCCCCGAGGCCCGTTGAAGCTTCACGTCTTTATCCTCAGCAGCATCCATGGTGGAATGGGTGATGTAGTGCGTCTTGAAGATTGCAATGTTGGGAATAGCGTCAACAGCGGGACCGGTCATGTGACACCTAAGTATATAAAAGTTCACTATTTGGTTCACTAGATTTCTTCTTAGATAAATTACCAATGCTCTTTACCCGTATGAGATCCTTTATAGATCTAATATGTACAAGCAGACACGAAAGAGGGGAAATATATTTTATATTCGTCGTGCAGATATGATAATTTATGTGGCCTTTGGCCTTTGAAGCTGTTCCACCCGTCGCTCAACCTTGAGAAGCTCTTTTCGAGATCACATTCGCTCTACCGCTTCTCGGGATGCCTTCGCCCAGTCCACCATTTTCCAGAAATAAAAGCCCTCAATCGACACAATAATCGACTGACCGATAAGGATTCCACACCAAAGCCCGAAAATGCTCCAGTGTAGACCAAATGCCAAAGCAATGCCCAAAGGCAATCCCACAAGGTAGTAGATCGAGAGCTGAACATAGCTACCTAGATCTGGTCGTCCCACAGCCCGCAGCAGGCTATTGAGGGAAGTAGCCACGGCATCGGGAATTTGAAGTACAGCACCCAATGGAAGTAAGAAGAAGATGTAGTGCCAGACCTCGCCGATATCACTAAACAAGCCAGGGATGACACTCCGGAGAGCAAGAATCACAAGCATATTTGATATACCAGCACCGAAGGCAGCAAAAACCATAACCCTAGCTGCGGTTGCCGCACGCTGGAGGAAGCCCGCTCCGATCAGATAGGCGATGTGAGTACCGCCCGCAACAGCAATGGAAAACGAAATCTGGAATGCAAAGTCCGAAAGTGTCGAAATAGCAGCCTGGGCTGCGAGCTCGGTCGCACCTAGCCGGGATGAAATGAGCGTCATGATTTCCCATGCAAGAACCTCGGCTTCGATCATTAGCCAACTCGGGATGGCAAGCTGCAACATTGGACCCCAGCCGCGCCACACCTCGACAGAAATTGGGTGCCAGCATTCAGATCCCTTGACGAAGATGACGTAGAATGCCAGAAAAACGGGCAGAAGACTGTTTGCGACCGCAACGGCGATAGGCGCACCGACAAAACCCCATTGCAGTCTCTGGAAAAGAGGATATCAGTGCATGGCTCGGGGGGAATTCTAAGGTTGAATAACATACCCAAACAAATAACCATCCCATGAAAATATTCAATGTGGAGCATATCACCAGAACTACCAGACTAGCGCTGAACAATCCCTGTGCCTGGAAAAATCGCTTTCCGGACTCAAAGCACGCATAGCCGGGAGCGCCTGCAATGGCAATTTTCAGATACAACCCCGCAAGAAGAGCCGTCTCCTGAGATTCAGACGGTAGAATGAGGAGAAAGATTCGATCCGCATTCCACCATATAGCTCCAATTGGGATTGTGAGGACGAGCATGAAAAGTGTCAGGCGTTGAACGTGAAGCCCGACCAGGGTCAGATTCCCTGAACCATATGCTTGAGGGCATAAAGTATCCAAACATGTTGCTAGGCCTTGGAAGACGAAATATCCAGTGATCTGGGCAGTCATGTTGGCCAAGCTCACGGCCCCGATTTCGCGTTTGCCGAGATGGCCCACCATGAAGATACTAGAACCGGTCAATGCATGTTGAAGTAGGAGCGATATCATGAGAGGGACAGAGTATCGCGAGATGATTGCTAATTCCTGTCGCCATCCTGACTTCTTGGAATTGTTTGCTGCTTCTGGGTCGATGTTGCGTAGCAATGGGGAAGACTCTGTGGCCCCCTGGTCTTCGGAGATCATCGTGGGGGTTTTTTTTTCTTTTTCTTTTTTAGGGCAATGGGAGCTCTCTGGATCCCCAACAACACACTCTATTTTTTTAGATTGAGTTCATTGAAATACAATGACAAGGATGGTTTAAAGATCATTGAAAAATGGGGGAACATGTATTCAGCAAAAGTGGAGATGTGATGAACAAATCAAGCCTTGCATTGATGGCGACACTTCCATTAGCAATAGTTGCTTTACGCCTGAGCTGAACTCCACTGATATACATGGGCATTCGTACTTGGCATGAACCTATCATTTACAAAGTACATCACGCGTTACATATAAGTAGAAAAGCCGATCTGCATATTTTAATCCGTTTTCACTGCCTGTATGTTGGCTACGACACGGATGAGGGGGAATATATCTTTGAGAAAAAGACATCTAGAAAGAATATCTAAGAATACATCCAAAAAGACTAAAAAACTAAAAGACTACTGAAAAAGACGTCATAAGGTCACATAAGCGACTATACTATTGTTGCTTCATAAGGAAAAAGTTGTAGCATGTCATTCAGTAAACTACTTGTACATGGCTCAAAGTTCACACGCTAAGTTGTCAATGAGGGTTCGAAAATTCCCTGGAAAATCGCACCATGAGAGAAAGAAATGCATATCAACCTTGGCATAATTATACCAGGCAGTATCATACCTGATTGTACTCAGTCTCTCTCTCAATTGCGAGTGAATCATGGAAGACCAGGGGATATTGTTTCCCTTGATTTATTTGATATAGATTTGTAAGGTTCCTTGTGGGATGCATAAGACTGATTGCAACCAGACAATCTCATCGATCTTGGGCAATATGACGGAGATTAACGATCAGGATCCGGGGAACCCATGGCAGGGCCATCAAAGATTGAGGCCACCAACTTGTCATTGTAAGCTTTCGCGAGTTTTGTCACGGTCCTTTTGATGTGCATAACGATAATTGCAACAGCTAGGGTGTTCCAGACATCATTATCAAAATCTGAAAGGTCGAAATGACCAAGGAACTTGATTCCTTGGGTTAGGGTTTGGGGATGGGGATTGGTGTCTAGAGAGATAACAGATAGAACAGGTCCACAGAGGACGAGCCCTATCAATGCCGGCCATGCTACTTCGCTATCATCGGGTGTAGCAAGTAGGCTCTGCCAGGCGTTCGATAGCTTCTCGAATGCTTTGGCAACCTTGTTAAAGGCTTCTTTGGGCTCTTCGTCCTGATTTTGGCAATAGATGATATGCACAGGGGGCGTATCCGGCTGGACTCTGACACCAGCATCGCTCAATGCCCACCGTAGATATTTCTCTATTGACTTCTTGATGTAGATCCCAGGACCGATGTCAAGGATATTGCAGTAGTCCCTCACATTGCCACATATCTTTAAAATCTCTTGAAATGCACGGATCGCGTAAAACTCCGAACACTTATCGTTCTCAAGGACAAAATGGGATTCGTTACGTTCAATTTCATCATCTTTCCCAGAAAAGAACAGCGATTCTGGAAGGGTAGAGAAATCTTTCTCCCAGTGTCTGTGGATAGTTGGCATGCAGCCACGAGTAAGAAGTTGATGGGCCGTCCGCTGTTCGTCTGGTGACAGGTCGTGGCCTTGGGGAAGTTCTACTGCGTCAAGTAGGCGCTTTGCCCTTTCTCGGGTCAGCTTATTATTGAGCAGCTCGTCATCCCGCCCTCGTGCCGGAATGAAGTATTCTTCCTCACTATCGTAGTCAAGGTCACTTGGCTGAGACATTGACCAATCCGAATCCGCCGTCCTCTTCTTCTTCCTGGCCTTTTTGGCCTTGGGCTTAAGCGAGCGGCCATCCTTGGCCGAGGTATGCAAAGCAGCTCTCTTCACTCGCTTCGCGCATGGCGAGGAGGGAGAGTCGCTGGTATCGCTGTCATCCCCATCGCTCGCACTGGTAATCTCGTATTCAGGCGAGGTGGGTGGATCGGAGTCCCATTTGTTATCTCCACTGATATTGGTATCCACGGACGGCTTGCGCTCTGTCACAGAGCCCTCTGGCTTGAGTTTAAATCGCTTAACCAGCTGCTCAGGCTCCGTGTCGTCAGGGGGAGAGCCCGTTTTTGGGCAGTGGTCGCCTAGTATGGAAGTCAGTAAAATGTAAGGAGTGGCGAGAGGGAGATTACAGAGGCCAAATTGATATGATAAGCTATGATAAAGAAAAGAAAAACTTACAGTCTGACCATGTTCTCTGAACTGAGTAACCGTGTCAGACATGGTGTTCAGCGATGAGGAGTTTGGTGGCTTTTCAGGATGGTTGAAGGGAGGAGCTGCAACCACCGGTTATGACAGGACCGGGGTAGCAGGAGAGGAAGAAAGAAGTGAGAAAGCTTTGTGGGAGCTTCGTCCTCACAAGCGTCGAATCTCGGGGTCGTTGTCCCAAGTCTCGTTGAACTAGGCTGGAGGGGAACCTGATTCCGACCTCTTAGAGAAGTCGATGTGGAAGTCGATATTGTCGACTTCGGGTCGCACCCTGTTGATGGGAGGCAACAGGGGGATCACGTTCTCAAGCCATCTCTCAATGGAATGGGAGCTCAACTGCTGTTGGCCCACCTTCGGGGTGGACTGAGAGTGGTGTTCTTTGTTGCCCGGGGGCGAGGGTTCTTTGTTTCCCGAGGGCAGGTTATCTTTGTTGCCCGAAGGCACGGTCTCAGCGGTTCTACTCAAAACCCGAAAGCCCCGACGAAACAGGCGTTTAATTTTTGGCAGCATCTTTGACATAGACCTCGGTAGCTTGATCTATTTCTGGAACAAAGGAAAGAGGCTGGACAAAATAAAAAAGATATGGAAAAGAAAAGAAGAGATGAAGAGAATAAAAGACGAGGACAAAGGTAAACAAAAGGAAGGTCCACGGGTGTATGTCCTTTCGCAAGGGGAAGGCACGCAAGAGAGGAAGGTACAGACAGTTTGGCTTCCTAATTGGGAAGGAACGAGGTACTTGAGCCCTTGACTTGGAAAGAGGGCAGTCGTATCCCGGAACTTGATATACACTCATAGACATGTGTACATGTGCATATAGAACCATGATCCAAACTACAAAATAGACAGATGGGATATATTAGTTCGTATTTGTATCTCCTTCTCTCCATACCACGAACCGCTAGAACATAACACTGGACATAACACGCACGAGTCCCCCAACGGACCTACGCTATCTTCATGGATCTTCATGGATCTTCAAACTTCGTCATTTCTCATCAAACTCTCATCAACCTGGAACCACTTCACACGCAATTCCCATGTAGGAACCCGTCCCCTCCCCTTTTTTGGACATCAAATACCCGACATAGAATAGAGTCATAAACCCGACCAGTCGGAAGGAAAACTTAGAAGAAAAAAAAACAACCCAAAGAGGGGGGAAAATAGAGCAAGCAATTTAGATAAGCACACAAAGGAATCGAGAAAGCAAAAGCAACCTGGAGGTTTCATTAACCAGGGTATCCGGTGGTCGAAGCATGTCAGTGAGGTCCGGTCCACACCGGCACTTAAAATGAAACTGCGCTTGGGTATGTTGAAGCAATTTGAAGGGCAAGAAGTGCTGGAAAGGGCGGGAGACCCGCGGCGCCCTGAAGAAACCGGACGTGTCGGCATTAAACTCCCGATGAACCGAATTGACACCCTCGTCAACAACTCGTGACAGGTGTCCAAGCAAGCGATAATTATCCCGATCACACATCGGTGAAATCAAGCAAAGTCAGCAGTGTAGGAGAATCCACGGAATTCTTCCTGCATGGCTTGTGAGAGCACTAAATACAAAAGAGGTATCGGTTAGTTTACAGTTCATCTTCTAGAAAGCACACACAAAGAAACAGCCAAGATCTTACCAGATTGCACAGGCGTCAAGACCGGGGTCACACTGGTGAACTCCTGGTCGAAGTTGCTGGTATCGGTGGGACTGCTGATTGTGGGGATGAATGGCGGGGGGACCCGCTTGTGGTAGATGTCATCCCAGTTGATGTTGCGGAAGAAGGCATGAGACATCACTTCTTGGGCATCGGTGGGACCGGAGCCCAGACGCAACTCGGGCTCACGAGTCAACAACTTCTGGAGAATCGACACAGAATCGCGAGGCATATGAATGGGGTAGAGAGGCTCGTCAGCAAGAATGGCATCGTAGATTTCATCCTCATCTTCACCACGGAACGGAGACTGTTGCAAAAGCATCTGGTAGATGAGAACACCGAATGCCCACCAATCCACAGCCCGTCCATACTTCTTGTCCAGCAAAATCTGTAACAAAAGTTAGCTCATCGGGACTTCAAAAAAACAATCAAACTTGATCCCACTTACTTCTGGGCCCATGAATTCGGGAGTACCACAGAACGTGCTTGTTGTGCCACCATACCACATGTTCTCCTTGCAGAGACCATAATCAGCAATTTTGATGTGACCATCCATTGTCAGCAAAATGTTATCGAGCTTCAAATCACGGTAGATGACACCGTTCTCGTGGAAGTACTTGAGTGCCAAGCAGACTTCGGCAGCATAGAATCTGAAAGATGTGAGCATTTTCAACCGCCAAAATAGGGCTTAAACTTAGGCATAGGACTTACTGTGCTCTCTTAAGGCCGAATTGGCCACGCTGAATGTGCAGCATGAGATCACCACCACTGATATACTCCATGACGAAATAGACACGAGTTTCAGTTTGGAAACAAGCGTGCAAGTTGAGAAGGAATGGGTGACGTTCCTTGTTTGCGATCAGGAAAACTCGCTTCTCGGACTTGGTGCTCTCCACTTCATCGTTCTCGATAATGAACTCCTTCTTCAACACCTTGATGGCATACAACTTGCGAGAGCTCTTTGTTTCAGCCAACATGACCTTTCCGAAATTACCTTTTCCAAGAACAGCAAGGAAATTGAAGTGATCCAATCCAATGCGAGCCTTTGCCTGCGCTCCAGCGTCCTCCTTGGTAGGAGATGCAACTTGCTGTTGTTGGGGAATTTGCTGCTGAATGGGCTGCGGAGGTGGCGCCATTGGATAAGCCGCAGGCTGCACCTTTTGCATAGCTTGGGGTGGGGGCTGCTGCGGGAAATTGGCATAAGCGGATGGGTCATAATGGGCGTGTTGAGGCTGCTGAGGTGCCTGGGGTGGCGGCATGGGACGGCCCATTTCGGCTAAGATTTAATTAGTATCAAAAGTCTATCTTGACGCAGGATCAGGGATTGCATACTTGGGGGTTGCTGGGGGCTACGTAGTCCGGCGGCGGCGGCGGCAGCGGCGGCGGCGGCGGAAGGCCCTGTGGGCGATTTCGGTGGCACCTGTTGGCGCTGTGCAGCCTGTGCAGCAGCAGTTGGTGACTGTGGAGTCATGAAGGAGTTAGTGGCAGCGCTTACCGCTTCTGCGGAGGGTTGTCTAGGAATAACCCCGTAGGGTCCTTCCATCGGCTTCTGGGGGTAGGAGAGGGCAGCGTTGTCTTGAGCGGGTTGGGGCGGACCGCCTGCTCGAAGGGTACGGTTGCTGAGGCCAGAACTAACAGAGGCAGACTTGTTGTGATGCTTGGTGCGAATCAACGTCTCTAGAATTTGGTTGGCGGCTTCCATCGTCATTCCACAGAAATCGGGCACAAGGTGAGTGCACTGAGCGTGACACGTAAGACTACATTCTATAAAAGAGGTCAGTATGGACTATAAAGAAGCGGTGATGTTAGTGATGTGCCTACCAGAGCAGCGCTTGGCATTTTTGCGTCCAAACGGAAGCAAATAGCCGCAGTGGCAGCACCAGTTCGCGGAGATGTTGGAAAAGCCTTCGAATCGGTGAGGAATGCGGTGGTTGATTTTCTCCTCGTCCGGATCGGTCTCGTAGTTGGCTTTGCTGATACACTTGGTGACAACCTTGGGGTAACACTTGCGGTGGCAGGTGTACTTGCAATCCGCACATTGCATGCCGGCTGCATACTTGAGGAATTCTCCACACAGTGCACAGCGCATAATGTTGTAAAACTGCTGGGTGACGAACTTGTGGCCCTGCTTCTCGTGAACCTCCTCCTTCTTCTGGCGAACGGCACCTTGGCGATTAAGACCAATGTCGAATGGACGGCGGTCCTTCAATTGTTTGGCTATATTCAGTTAGCACACAATGCTTCTCTTGGGGGTAATGCAAGTTAGTCTTACCGAAGCTCATTTGAAGCTGAACTCGGCCAACCGGTTCTAGGGCAAACCACGAATCGATCGTCACACTCGGGGGAGCATTTGAGCTCTCGCCACCGTGGTGTCCATGTGCACCATGCCCAGAGGTGCCCGGACGTCCTCCGGGGCTAGGGCCATGTGAAGTGCCCATAGGAGAACCGGCTTGGTCATGTCGAGGGGATCCGCCATCGCCCATCTTATCTGCAGACACCCAGCCAGATGCATTGAGCTCCGTCTCAATCTTCTTGCGACGCATCTCCTCTGCGATGTCAGAAATGCGCACCCAAAGCATACCGATTGGTACTGGGCGATCTCCCGACTTGTCATAAACAGTCAATTCGATCTCGTTCGCCTTATCGATATCCATGGAAAAGCTTTCGTCCAACCATTTATCGTTTCGGGTGGCCTTGGTTCTCGCTTTGATCGTGTCTTCGACCTTGACGACAATGTATGTCTCTGGTCCTCGAGAGAATCGTGAACTAGCCGCATGGTCTACGTCCTTGACCGCATGGATGCGCATTGTCAGCAGACCCGTCAGCGGCTTGCGCATGTTCGGAGCACTAAGACTCTCATCTGTACACTAGTTAGTACCCATGTCGCATTATGCTCGCAAACAAATTGCTATGTTTTTCATACCGTCTGGTGCATCGGCGGATTCAATATCAACATGAAGATCCTCGTATCGCTTCAGCGCCTGCTTTAGAAGCTGAATCTTTTGGTTACTCTCAATGCGACGACCCTCAGCGTCAGCTCGGCTCTTCCGATCGCCCTCATCCTGGTACAAGCGGACCATCTTTTCGATTCCGGCTTTATATTGCATTTCCACACTCAACTTGAACTCCAATTGAGACAGCATGAGTTGGATCTTCGGCCCGAGGTACGGAGTGTCATACTTGATCAGATCTGAGAGATAGCCATTCATATTAGCATTCCAAGCGATTTAAGCGCAGCGTGGCTTTTTTTTTTTTGGAGGGGTTTGGCGGCATCCAAGAACGTACCCAGCTTCGTGTAATTGGGCCTCGCCTTCGGGATCGGAGCATAAGGTCGGGGGTCGGCATATGGGGCACCGGAAGGCATGGAGCCGGAGC